GGACTGGTTCTTTGTAATATAAGTTTTCCAGGAGTGATGTGGACCTGTAATTACGGCTGAGCTTGGCTGGTTATATGTCTTCAGTGAGTGCTCACCCTCTCTGGATCCTAACCTGAAATGCGTTGGACATTGCAGGAGGGGTTGCACTAGATTCTACTCATTTTATAGGTTTTGTAAAAGGTGTAGTGCACTCAAATATCTGTGAGTTTGCAGGATGGGCTTGGAAGGTAGTGGTGGAGAGCTGTTCCACATCTTTCAGGAGCTCATCAGGATCCCTTGTCAGCACAGAAATGAACATCATAAACTAGGCAGGTTCCTCTTTTTTTTTTTTTTTTTTTTTTTTTTAACATGCTTAGACAGAGAAGTCATGGCACTAGGTACTGTATAGAAAAGTAGTAAGTTGGAGTCTGCTCAGAAATCTTATTGTCTGGTCAGAATAGGCAGGCAGAGGTTGAGAGAAGGAAAGAGTTGCTCTTTACTGACTTCACTGTTACCTGACCTGATTCCATGATAGAAAACCTCAGTTTATTAACACTTAAAAGGACACTGACCTCAGAAAGTCACAGGTCCAATCTTCTATGCTGGTGCTTGCTGTCATGCCAGTGACTATCTGCAAGGCTGCCAAGATTTGCACCAGCCTCACATCACTGTCCCAGCATCTACAGCGCTGGTGGTGCTTTCAGAGTGCTCATCTCCCCATTCACAATGAACTTCCACTGCTCTGAGCCTGCTGTTTAGTTTCAATCCTACCTTTTTTCACCAATAAAGAGCCCCTAACCCTTACTAAATATTTAACCCTCCTACAGCTTTGCAGAAGTTTGCAAAAGCATAGGTTGTTCTTTTCCAAGTCGGGGAGCTTTTATTAATCAGCCAGAATGGGGTTATTTTAGTGTCTCTGGGCTGGAATGTAAGTGCAAAGCTTGCGTGTATGCCAGCAGTGTCACTGGCACGCCTGTTCCAAACATCTGGGATTTCACCTGTGGCTCTGCACTGAAGTGCTCTTTGGTTTTTGCAGTGTGCTGACAACTGTAGTCAGTATTTCCAGTTGTGCTGCCTTCAGTACGATTTGCCTTCCTTTACCAGCAGTTGTTCATGTCTCCGCCTTGGGTTTTTTTTCCCCAGCATCTTTGAAATCTGCACATATGCTGATGATTTTGTGTCATTAATATCAATCTAGACAAGTCTGTGTGACCTTTCACTCCCATGTCCAAAGGGAAGAACTGACCCCTGCAGTCAGTCACAGCAGAGCACTGACTCATACATACTTTTCATAAAAATAATGCAGGAATTCCCCATAGTTTTTACCCATAATTTTTCAGGAGATGAAGTGTAAGTCTTCCATAGCAACACAGTTTGGGAAAACTATGAAGCATGTAGCATCAGATAGTTAATCTTTTTCTGACATACAATACACTTTTTACTATTAATGTTGTCCAATCTTTTTTTTCTCCTCATATACCTCACTTGCTCAAACTCAACTGATCTGTTTGAGTTTCATTTGAGCTTATGTGCTCTCAATCTTATTCCCACCCTTGTCTGTTTTCCAGCTCCATTGTAAACCTACTAGGAGGGGACTGGGATTTGTCCCACCGCCCTGTTTCCCCAGCGATGAACACAATAGGACCATACTTTCCCTTTTTTTGCCCTGATTCTAGCAATATTTTCTGTTTTGCCTGCATAAAATAAAATATACTGTGTTTAGATATGTAGCACTGCCAACAAAGAAAAAAATATCTCTAAGTTCAAAGTTCCTTAAAAAAAACTAACTGAAATTTGGAACAAGTCAGAATCCTTCCAGTAAATACTAATGGTAAAACAAAACAACCAGCCACCCAAAAGTAATTGCAGGGAAGCTGTTTACCACTGAGATATGAGTGTCATAAGGAAATTCTGTTTCTTTACTTTCCTATGTTTGATTATTTGTCACTTAAAAAAAAAAATTATAAGTGAAGTCAGAGCAATTCCTCAAGGTCTCAGTATCTGAACAACTTTCCAGTGAATACTTAGGGGACAGCATTTTTTTGGTCATACTTGCTGTCATGGAGCCAAGGCAAGCTTTTTTAAAGTATGGAGGTGACTAAATGCTTCTCCTAAATTATTTTTTTCTATAAGGCATAAAATACATATTTAAAATCTTCAAAATAAATGTAATAAAACAACTAGATTACAAGATTTTGTCAAGAATTATTTTGACCCAATAGCTTAGTTGCTTCTTTGTCATGAGACTCTCAAAATCCCTTTTCTCCCTCTTAAAAAATCTGAAATTTAATCTTACAGTGTACTTGATAGTGTGATTTAAAGCCAGATATTTAACATTCTAAGATTTTTAGTTATTTTCACTCTTAGAAGAAGGCAGAAATGGAAGTAATCTCCTGTCAGATCCTATATCTGCGTTGATGAGATGTATTGTTTTTGTTAATATGGGTGCTTTGTGGTGTGCATATTATAATGACTGAGGTGATTTTTGGCATGAAGAAAACCTATGCAGTGATGGCAGTTTGTTGTCACACATCTGTGCTCTTCCTTCCAGTAAACTCTTTGGAGTTAGTGAGCATCCCTGGCTTAATATAGGAGGAATTTGACATAGCTCTGTGCTAGCTCAAGTGTTTGTGGAAGGAGCTGTTAATCTTTGATCAACTGGAGTCTCCTTCTTACTGACTTTGATTACACAAGTGTACAACTTTAATTACAGCTTTTAATAAGCTTTCATTTCTTCCTAGCCACATTCTTTGTATAGTAGTGCAGCTTATCTCTTCCTTTCTCCCATGCTCCCCTTCCCTTCCCCCCTGCCTTTTTACGGAAAAGGGCATTTGAGGTCACTGCAGGGGATTCGGTGTCCAGAGGGATCCTGCCATACACGCTCTGCCCACAGCTGTACCCTCCAATTGCTTGCACAGTCCAGAGAGCTCTCTCCTTCAGCTGCCCTCCAAAGATCCCCAAACCAGCAGCTGCCTGGGAGTTGGTCAGCAGGGGAGTACAGGGCTGAGAGGCATCACATTCGCACAGACATCCACTGCTGCACAAAACCACTGAAAAACCCTTAGAAAGTCTCTGTAGCCAAAGGATCTAGTCAGTCCTGTGTCATTTTCTGCTTGTGAGGGGCTTTCCCCTTCTCTCTCTTGGGGACACTGTGAAATGTGGCGGCTGAAGTCAGAGTGGCAAAGGGCGTCAAGAAGCTAGTGGGCTCCAGCATCCACCCATGGTACTCACTCCTCATCCACAGACTCAATGCTCTGGTTACCCTCTGGTCATTAGCAAAATGAGCTGGTGAAAGTTTTGTGAGAGACTTAGACTTGTAATTGTAAATACAGTTACAATGACATTGAGATATTGTTTAATACAAGCATAAGGAAATGCTCTTTTTTGACATGAATTATATTTCAGCTGTGGAACTCTTTGCCCCACAACATTTTAGGTATGAAAAAGATCAGTGGGTTGAAGAGTTGGTTGGATAAATTAATGGAAGGAAGATTCATCAAGGTCTATTAAGAATAATCTTCCCATCACTGGGTAGCCTGAGACCCGGGGAAATTAAATTTTGATCATCAGAAGTGAGAAGGGGTTGCTAGAGAGGTACCTCTCTTGGTATTTGCTGTCTTTGTGCTCTTTCCCGAGCCTCTGTGTTTGACCCCTGTCAGTGAGAGGATGTGGGGCCAGTATGGCCCAGGGGCAAAGCACTTGACTCCCATGGATCTAGTAAGGTGCACCTGAGGAGTGACTTAAAAGATGTGAGTCACAAAAAAGATACAGATGGTAAAACTGAGCAATTTGAACTGATTTGACATTCAGAGGTGTGCAAAATTTTAATATGCCAGTTGTGCCTACAAAAGAGGGTAGTAGGGAAAACAACTAATAGAACAGGAAAGGGAGCCTTTTCTATGTCTGTGCAGGCATCCCTTTGGCTCCCTTGCTGTGTGTGCTATACTCTTTTTGCACACTAATGAATATCAGAGTCAGAGCAATTTATGCTATATATCACTCTACTCCTGTTTTCTAATGAACTTACCTCTAATGGGTAGCTTTCCTAGCTATTTGTGTCATGACTAAATTTCACCTTGACAATAGATCAAGAATAAGGTTCAGCAGTGTGGCCCACCTACTTTGCAATGCTTCAGCACGACAGCTGCTTTGAGTCCTCAGGGTAGCTTTACTTTGATGCTTTTCCCTGCTTAGAAAAATTTGGAGGGCAGATTTTGTTAATCTCCAGCAGGCAGAGTTTTTAAACTTTTCTCAAGGGAAGATGAAGATTCCACAAAATTTTTGAACAAATATTTATTTATGAAATAAGTGACACTGTCTTTAGAAATGTTCCTCCCACTAGGCTCCAGAGGAAAGTAGCATTTGCCACGCCGGATCTTACTTGTCGTTGTTGTAGCCTGATGCTCTTGGCACCTCAGGCTTCACTGTGGAAAAGTCTGGAAGGCTTATGACAAAATGTCTAGTCTGGCCATTGCAGACATGGTTCTAGTTGTTAAGGGGTGTGTTTTCATGCCTCAGAAACACACAATAAGAGGACTACGTTCTTTGATCTTGTGGCCTCTCCGATGCCAGAAACACTAGAGTGAAGTTCTTCTAAACTTGGTGGGCTTTCTGGTTGCTCAAAATATACTGCAGGAGTTGCTGTAACATGGGGATTGAAATGACTGGTTTGCTGAATTAACTGGACAAACTATGGGGGGAAGAAAAACAATAGAATGAGTTCATCATGGTGTACATGTGCCTGACCCAGGGTCATGGGCCAATGTGGTTGCATCATTTGCTCGTTCAGTAGCCATGCTGCTACTGAAAAATCCATGTCTGGTTCCTGAGAGTCTGATCTTTTCGTGACACTTTCTGCATGATCTGCTTCAGCAGTTTCTCCCGTCAGCAACCTTTGCATCTATTCAGGCAAAGTTTTTTTGTTTGTCCATTTTTAAACCAACCTCATGTCCCCTTTTCCTAAGTCTTTTTGGACGGGGCAGCCCAATCATTCTCACTGTCTGCCCTGTCTCTTTTGGCAGACTCGGGGACCAGTTCTACAAAGAAGCCATTGAACACTGTCGCAGCTACAACTCTCGGCTGTGTGCCGAGCGAAGTGTCCGCCTTCCCTTCCTGGATTCACAAACTGGGGTAGCTCAGAACAACTGCTACATCTGGATGGAGAAGAGGCACAGGGGACCAGGTTGGTAGCGTTGTGTCTGTGTATGCATGCGCATGTATCGAGGGCTGGCCACTGAGCCCTCATGGGGTTTAATTAATAGGAGCAAAAATCTGCTACAGGCCACACAGAAGAGAAGCTGCCTAAACCTCTGTGCCTGCAGGGGATTTCCTTTAGTAACTGCAGAGAGCTCATGCTAATTATTCTCTCTCTACCCGTACAAGTGCATGACGTGGTAGTTTCTAAGGCCTCATCAACATAGCTCTTTTAATGCTATTGATCCCAATCTGTAGCAGAAGACACAATGCTCTGCTCTCAGTAGGACTGGAATTTCTTCAAGGTGGAGGTGGGAGTTTCTCAGATGAATGCTGAAAATAAGGAACTACATCGGGAAGGATATAAATCCGAGGTAAAATATAGAAGAGTCCAGTTCATGGAGTGTACGTAGTTCCAGTGGTTAGAAATACACATATAGGTCCTGATTCTCCTTTGGACAAGTTACTTGGGTATCAGTTTTGGAGCTGCAGTTCCCTTGGGTGCAGAAAGAAGTCGGTGTATTTCCTTAAGGAGCTTTGGCTAATGCCTGTTCTAAAGCTCAGTGAAGCTCAAGGGAAAAGAGCACTGGGTTTTTTTGTGGACTTTGATCAGTCCTTCCTTTGTTAGAGTAAATCCATCTGGAATCCTTGTTTGAGAGGCAAAGGACAGTCACCAGCTCAAAGACTGGAGATGTTACTCTGATAGAAGTCCTTCTGAACCACAGGGGGGAATATGGCTAGGTTATGTCTCAGTGTCTGACCAACAATGTGCTCAGGGAACAGATTTTTTTGATAGCACCAAACTGGGTTCCTACTCTTTTGATTATTTTCTTTAGTAAAGACCAGAGAATCCAGGCAGGAAGGGGGCTAGGGTACATGGTCACTGGAAGCACGACATGTACATGTGCATAAATACATGCCAGTTCATGTAAACCATACTGAACTCCCCCCTCCTCCCCTCCCCAGATTCTAGATCTGAAATTATGGGAAGGTGCAGCCTGCTCTAGTCTCTTCCACTGGCCTATTTACAGGAGATGAAGTGGGAGGAACGCACAGGATGTTTCCCCTACCCTCCTGTAGCTAAGAAAGCAATTGCTGCTTCTGAAGAGTGCTTAGCTGAGACTTAGCTAAAACTTCCCTTCTCCCTTTCCTACAATGTACTGAGGGAAGGATCCTTGCATTCCTCCTATGCCTAAAATATCCAAAGTAGATTTAGTGTTGTCTTGAACTACTATCAGAAAACTCTTTCTATAGTAAAATGCAGAAGACGCAGGTGTTTTACAGCATTAAAAATACCCTAAGAATACTTCAGCTATGAAAACTGCTGGGGTAATCTGGGACCACTGAATGTGGTTTACAAGCTGGGAGTTGTCTGACCTTCTGGACTCACTCTTCTTTTGTAGGGTTGCTTCATACCCATAGTTGAGTTTTTGCTTCAGCTGAAAATGCCCCATTCCTAAGCGATTATGCTTTGGCAAAGCAGCTTGTTTGGTTGGTTGTTTTTTTTTTGGACTAATCTGTTTACCCAAGGAATTTTTGTTCTTGTACCATCTTGTTATGAGTAAGATGCTGCTAGTTTTATTCTTCTGAACACAGTCAGGAGGTATGTATAGAAACAGGTATACATCCACTACATTCACAAGTAATGCTTTGTCAACAGCAACTTCTACAAAGATAGCTGGAAAGTTTTGTGTGGGCCTCATTAGTGTCTGTGCACTTGCAGAAGAGACCATCATAAAAGTGTTACAGCATCACACCAGGAACCGAGAGGTCTTAATGCTTTGCCTTTCTCAGGACTACCTTGAGCAAATTCACTTTGCAAGTCGTTCTTTCCTCACTTTTGATAGTGAACTGTTTGGCAGCTCGCCCTATGAAAAAGGACCAGTGACATTTCTCCTGCAGGTCTGCAGTAGAGACTAAAGGTGGAGCATTCTTCACAGAGAGTAACAGGTGAAAGAAGCCTCCTGTGTCTGGATTGGCCACCAAACCTGATGCTTTTGTTATTTTGATTTAGAATAATCAGTGTGAAATGAAGCAGCCCTCCTCCCCCATATTTGCTTTCCTCTTACTTGATTTTATTAGCCCATTTAGTGCTCCCTTGGGTATCTTTGCATTATCTATTTCTTGTAGTTTTATGGTGAGTCAAAGCATCCCTCTACAGTTTAGCATGCCTGTTTTTGGCTCTGCCAGCCATCCTGGTATCTGTCCTGTATGCTATGCTCACTACTATTTACTACCTCTAATCTGAAAAAACTGTATAATGACAAATGGCAAAGCTCCATGTTCTCTTTTTACTTATACAGGCTTGAACAACAGAGGAGAGTCAGGACCTCAGCATATTAACCTGGGTCCTTGCTGTCCTCTTTGTTAAAGGAGTCAGAAAACTGCATCTCATGATAAACAGTTCAGGGTTAATTTCACACAATACTGCACATAACTCCCTCCTTTCCCCCTCCTTCACTGGCCTTTCACACGAACTTTGAGTTATGACTCTCCTACACTAATGAGATAAACAACATAACTCACTGCAGGTTCTGCTATTTCCTCTATAAGCAAATGGTTGGAACCTTCTCTGGTTGCCCTATAAGGTACCAGAGGGAGAGACAACCCACTGAGGACTAAAGACAGTAAGAACTGTATATGCTTTATTTCCATATCCACTATCAGATCGACTGTGAAGGGGCTAGATTCAAGGTATTCAGGACTGACCCTTTCCTTGTTGCCTTTCCTTTCTGTAAGATCTATACTTCATGTGAGGCAGCACAGTGACAGAGGGGGAACAGGGTAGAGAAGTGAAGGTAGCATTGATGGGTTTGGATCAAGTTAAGGTCTGGTACATGTATTAAGTTAATTGGATGGCAGTGTATTAATGAACAGGGGTATTGTGAGTGGGAACAGAGAGCTTACCTCAAGGGGTGCAGAGGTGGCTGTTGGATCATCCATCTCTTATTGATCTACCTGCCACCTGGAGGTCCTCTAGGAAAGAGGCTTTCTGATCTCTCTCCTTTCAAGGATATCTGCTTTATATCTAGTTGGACTTTCAGCATATGCAGTTGGCTTTCAGTGTCCTCAATGTGGCTCAATCCAGAACTGCTCTTTCATATAAAAGCGCTCAACAGTTGAACCTACTTTAACAGATACTCCCCCAAAACTTCAGTACATCTTTGCTCCTTTCTGTCTGGGACAAAAGCTGTGGTGCTTATTTCTTTCAAATGACTCCTCTGTGGCAACTTGTGCAATGGAGGGCTGATTCTCTGTCCTATTGCTTTGGTCTAATAACCACCATTTCAATGTTGTGTGAAAGTTCTTGAACAGGACCTGCTGTGAAAGGGTGAGGCTTCTTGCCTCCACCTCTTTAATTACTCACATGAGAGCCAGGCACAATCCACCTCATCATTATAGCAATTGTTTGCAGTGGTTAATGTTTGCAAAGTGCTATGAAGAGGAGTGTCCAAACACTATAGAAGTGCTAGTTGTTCACATTTTTATTCCCAAACCAGTCCTAAGCAACCTGTTCTGAAATGTGTCCTTGGAGTAGGCATAATGCCCAGCTTGCTGAGCATCAGTGAAAGAACCAGTGAAATTCTGTGCCCTGAAACAAGCAGGATCTCTGCAAATACTCCATCACTTGGCCACAACCAGGCATTATGCTGTAGATGCTATGTTTATGCACCAAGGCCTTGGAAGTGGGTGGAAAGTGCTGGGGTCTGAACTGGAATTCCCAACAGCTGAAATATTTAAAAACAGGAGCTTAGGTTTCACTTGCAGAATTTGATTAGCACGTTCCCTTGAGGTGAATTATTTTATTTTGTCTTCCTCCTCACCCCCAAGTAACAGGATATTGGTTTTTTTCATTATTCTCATTTGGTTTGGTGAGTCATTTTTGTTCCCAAGATGATATATTCTCCTGGCTGCTTCAGAAGGGATGAGAAAACTCTTGGGCCATCCCGATGTCCTTGAGCTGTTCTGCTTTACTGGCATCCCCTAGATGCTGTCCGGCTGTTCACTGTTGGTACAGTTTCAGATGTGGTAACACCACTCCTGTTCTCTCTCTTATATGGTCTTACCTGTTTTCTGAGGACAGGGAGTCTGGAATTGTAGTCACACTCCATAGCCCCTTCAAGACCATGGCAGAAGGACAGAGGAGCCAAAGCAGAACTGGTGGTCAGAGAGGGCAAGGGAAGCAGAGCAAAGAATTTAATTCTTCCAACTTTTCTGTGTCTTTCTGGTATTTCTGTACGTCATGAGTATCTGGGGCAGTTGAGGATACTTTGGAGCACTTGTCAGTGTGCTTCTGTGCCCCTAATAGTGATGCATTCATGAAGCCCTGCTGTGTTCTGAATACAAGAGAGCAAAATATAGCTCAAACATTGGCTAAAGGGTAGCTGTCAGGAGAGCCAGGGCAGCTCGGAGGCCAGCAATGCCAAATGTGATTTAAGGGACCATGCAATAATGTAAACATTGCTGCTATATCTCCTTGCTCAACCAGGAGATTGGCATGAGGAGCTAATAGTCAGAATGAAGAATTGGTATTCAAACAAATATCAAGAATTTAAGCAAAAATACAGAGTCTGCATAGTCAGACCTCTTGGATCTTGTTTTGCTCCCATTTGGAAGACACAAATTTCCTGAGCTGCTCTGTACATCAGGGCCTCAAGATTTGCATGTCAGAACTTCATCTTTTCTCTCCCAAGGGGGCTTCTCTGCCTGTGGAGGAGGCATCGCCCTTGTGACCCAGGAGAGTCTGAAATTCTATTTACCCTGAAGAAATCACAAATTATTTATGTGCAGCTTTGGTTTCAGTGAGCTGAGTGAAGTCTCTAAATGAAACTTAGATTCTCTGTAGGCCTGATCCCAAGAGGTGCTGAGGAGCCTCAAGAGTGCTGGATGCCTTGAGTGTGTAGTTCTGTCTCATGATTTGCAGGATTCAACCCTCCAACAAGGAGATGCTGGAAGGGCAAGAACAAAGATGCTAGAGACAGTGCTTGTGGTTTACAATCTGAAATGTGATTAATTTTTTGCCTTTAATCTTCAGGCCTGGCCCCAGGTCAGCTGTATACATACCCAGCACGTTGCTGGCGCAAAAAGAGGCGTTTGCATCCCCCTGAGGATTCCAGGCTGAAGCTGCTGGAAATTAAACCTGGTAAGTATTTGTTTGCCTTTCTCTCCTGCACTGCAGAGCAGCTGGCATACGTGCAAACCTGGCATTTAGACCTTGGACTTTATCTTTGCCCCTCTCCCACCATTTCTCATTGCATCTGTTGTATCTTACTTGATTTGCTGTCACAATAACAACCAAACTCTCTGCATGCGATTCATCCCTTACAGAAATGTGTACAACTTGTATTGAATGCAATGGGAGCTGAATTTACCTTCTGCAGGGTTGAATCCTGGCTTCTATTAGCAATTCGTAAGGATGCAAAAGATCAATGTATTACTAATTATTTCCTCTGCACATTATTAATACAAAGTCTCACTCTGGCATCTGTCGCCTAATCTTCGTGAAAAAGGCCACTGTGTGTGTGGAAGAGTACACTGATAAGATCTTTCTTAATGGGGCTGGGATCAAGGGATGTGACCAGATTATAAACAGTAAATACTAAAAGTTAGTGAACATAAGCCACATTTGTGTATTTGTGTCGGTCTGTATGTGCACCTTTGTCCGTTATTCTTTCATTCTTCTTGTCCTTGGTATTCTTCTTCCACAATTAAACTACAGGAACTGATGAGTCTGGATGCTGAATGATTGACTGTAAAGCAGATGTTGAGGAGCTACAGCTGTGTCAGGTAGAGCATAGTGTTGTGCATTCTTCCCTGCAGTTAGTAATAAAGGCTTGCTGTCTCTGGGGTCAGCCATTATGAGAAAGAGGGAACACATGTACTCACAGCTGTATGTGGTTTTTAAGAGGTGACACACTGCCAATATAAAAAGTACAGGAGAAAACCCCCAAATGTATATTAAGAATATTAAAAAAACCTGTTTGACAAAAGGAGGTGCCTGGGAACTGAGCTACGATCAGCAATACTGATGACTTTGCTTCTATACAGTAGTTGGTAAAGGGGAGGAAGGGGCAGCAGAGACAAAATTCCTGTTGATTCTGGTAGAAACAGTTTTTGAAGACTCCCTACCTTCAATATAAGAGACATCAGTGGACAGCTGGACAAGTGGAAGAAATCCCTATAACCACTCAGCTGGGGTTCAAACCAAGGGCAAAATCTCAGTCAGCAAATAGAACTAGACCTCACAGCAGAGCTGCTTGGAAAGAACTGATGAAATCAGTCACGTACATTGATGAAAATGAGACTGGACTCTAGGAAAAGAATGCTGTTGGCTCACAGAAGGGCCTACCTCAGACTTTGTGATGATGCCAGCACTGCTGCACTTCAGTTATTTTACAAGGTAAAGCAGTAGGGTAGAGTTTGACTCTTTTTGTTTGCATTACATTTCTTTGCTGTATTCACTGAATGCCAAATTAGTGCATCCTACATGCCACAGGGCATGAAAGGCAATTACCACAAAGTTATCAGATAAAGAGACCTCAGCATGTCTGTCTCTGTGTTGTTTTCCCTGCTATAAACATCTCCTCTGCATCTCAGGAGTGCTACTTTTGTTGCATTGCCCGTGGCAACCAAATAAGGCGAGTTATATTACTCTGCCATTTAAATCTATTTTCCAACCAATTTCTATCTAGTGATTAACTTTTCTTATCAGTTACACCACAAAATAATTTCACTCCATCTGTGCATATCCAGAATAGACTCACTAGCCAAAAGTGGGATTTTTCCCTTCTCCAATTTGAAAGTATAAAACCTATGGAAAACATTTGATCTCCATTTAAATGTAGCTTTTGAAAATTTGGGAGAAAGATAGTGTAATTTATTTTCAACATGGCCAGCAGAAATACTGTGCATTTTGGAGGGGAACACTGTGGTAAAACCTAATGCTAAACCTAGGAAGCTACCTAATGTTGACTTCTTCAGTCCTTGATTAAATGTTAGATTACTGTGTGGGGCAAAGATGTGGAAATTTAAGATCCCTTAAAAAGCACAGAGATGACAACTGTAGGACATACAAAATACATTTGAAAGAAATCTAATCTAAATGTTCCATGGCTTTGTTCCCCTAGGGCTTGGGCATCCTAGTTGTGGGTTAGAGCTGTTCTCAGCATCTAGAGAGTGCTTGTGCTCTTTTAATATGCAAAAAGCTGATTTTTATATAGGAGGCTGTGAAATTGTTTATATATTTTATATATAATTGTTATATAACATGCACAGGCAGTGCAATTCTACAATTTCAAATTTGGGCTAAGCCTTAGTTGTATTGTGTGTTACATTTTTTGGCTGTGTAGAAATGCTTCTCTTAAGACAGCCACTGTAATAAACACTGAAGGGGAGCTTAACTCCAAAAGTAGCCAATACAGCAGTCAATGGGGTTGGCACCAGGGGTGTGAATACTTGCTTGGACTGCACCTGGGCTTTTGGAGTGGCTTATTATAGCAATAAGTTGTATCCAAAAATTCAAGACACCTACATAATTCAGGAGATACACAGGATTTTTGTTTTGGTAAGTCATAGCTAGTCATGAGCTGATCAGTAAGTAGAATCAAACTATTGTCTTGCTATCAGTTTAAGGGTACAATAAATCATTTAGTAATAATACAACATTTATAGTTATAACCTACTTTTGCAGGTTTAGGTAGTGCATGACAACAGTCAGTAAGTGAGAGTTTCACATTTGGTAATACCAAAACCTAATGAAGAAAATAATTATGGTCCAACGGTCTGCTGTTCTTTTGTAAAATGCAAGGTTCACTATAATGTTTTTCCTGGGGTCAGTCGATGCCTGCTTCTTAATAGAACACAGTGCTTTTGTTGTCCTGATCTGTTGCCTGTATTTGGTTTCAAGTGGAAGTGTTTGGTTTTAAGACTAGTTACAGCCAAAGTTGTAAAGATGTGAACACTGGAATAGATGTTACTGATGCAGCCTTTAGATGTCTATTTTCATCTGCCACTCTACTCAGAGTTACCTGCAAGGATTGCTCTAGTAAAGTGGTTTGATCGAGGGTGCAGCAATGTTCATATTAGTGCTATTTCTAAGCACCCTCTGTCCCATCCAGTGGCATATCCAATAGATACGTGGGAGAAATAAAGTATTGCCAAACTTACTTATGATAATTACTTCAATGACAATACAGTCAAAATTACAACCAGATCTTCAAGAATTTCACAAAGTATGCCTGACACTTACTTGCACATGGTTTGGTCTTCATCTTTCAGTGTTAGGTTCATATTCTCAGAACCAAGCATTATGGCTTAAGTGTAGCCAAGGGCTCATCGTTGTAATCGATAGGAGCTGTTCCGTGAGCCATTATAGCCTGCCAGTCAAGACTCCTATGAACACTGGTACAGATTTGAAATATATTCTAGGTCATGGGCAATATATTGACATGTTGCTAATACTGTGATTCCATAGTACAGAGTTCTAAAGTTATTAGGTGTTGATACTCTCCTAATATTCATGAAAATAGACTTCTGTTCAAGCGAGTGTGGGCAAACCTGATTCTCTGCGGCAGCAGTGTTTGCACAGGACTTCAGCACAGAGCAGTGGGAAGGACGTAAGCAGCTCATGCCACCACATTCACTCAAGCTGGCTGTTCTCCTGCCCAGTAAAAGAGTGAGAGCAGAGCTGAGCTCCTGCGCATGGGAAGTCTGTGAGTCTGGGAATGGGTGACAGAGAGGTTTGGGCTGGGTAGCCTTCCAGTGGAATGGAAGAAAAAGGAGAATTTTTAACTCTACCACCACTGTGAGCTGCAGGTACTGCAAAGGCAAGCAGTAGAGTTCTGGTCCTCAGCAATATCTGAGCAGTTGGAAAGAGGAGGGTTAGAAATGGAAGACTGATCTCTGATTAGACCCAAGACCACTTGAAATCTTAATTGATCCTTATATACTTAGTGGTTTTGTGGTGCTGGGTGGTATGATTCTGTGTTGGGTCAGCTGTCAAAATTGTGGAAGTGGTATTACCTACAGTAAACCCTGCTGACAGTCAGGTATTACCCAAGCTTTGCAGCTATGCAGATGAGAATAGATAGGATGAGTATGGCAAAAAACTCTGGTGGAATTTAAATTGGTAGTGTCCTACTTCAGTGTTACAAGATGGCTAAATATAGGTACGTACATATGTGCACACAAGGCTTTTATTTCACGTGCTATGTGAGTGTAAGGAATATGACTGGAAAGATCTTGTCTCAATTTACTGCTGTTCTTTGGTTTTGGACTGAAAGCCAATAGTGAGGTTTCACAGTGGGCAGCCTTCCCACCCACTTGAAGGGTGTCGAGTTTGTGTGTGCTACTACTGTGCTGAGAACGAGCTGGTGTCCTGCACTAGTGTCTGTCTTGTTACTTATGTCTGGGCAGTCTAGTGGTCAGTTGAGCTACTGAAATGTTTGTTTTTAACTGGCTGTTGAAGGGTAAAAGTAAACAAAAGAATTTTTCATTTGCTATTATGAACCATGGTAGAATTGTTTGAGGCAAGTACTGATAAAAGATTTTTAGATCCAATTGAACAATGCCTGATCTGTTTTTAATGTGGCATGTGGGGTATACCTAGGTGAGGGTGCTTGTGGATGAATGAACAGAACCCTTACAGATAAGCTATTATCTCTTTAAACCAAACCAATTTACCTTGTAGAGACTGTGACTGATTGTACAAGGGTCTCCTGGAAAGTGAAGAGTGCCCCCCAACTCTTGTGAAAGATGCTTGGCTTGTCTGTGGAGGTCTGTGCTCTTTAAGATGGGGCACTTCACCAAGAGAAAGTTAAGATGACATTAAAAAGCAAAGAACAGAATTTGTAGTAGTATCACTTACATGATAGCATCTAGAGACTCAAGTAGCATGTTAGATCATCATCCCAGAGGTTGTTGTGAAGTTTTCTTATGCTCTTTGCTATAATCATATACTATAGCAGATCTTACAGTCCAGATATACAAGATATTGTGAAGGAAGTATTTTGATTCCAAAATGGAGAAATGAGCGACAAAGATAATAAAATACTTCTATGACAGTTATACTGGAGGTTTGTGGTACAGCTGGAAATTGAACTCAAGAACATTGAAAGACCTCAGTTCTCCTGAGTCCCATATTAT